AGTTCCCTGAGCCCAAATGTAACCAAAGGATGAATGGGTACCTGTCTCCAAATGCTGCCATCTTAGCTTCTGGGTGACAGTTTTATTCAGGCCTCTGTTTTGTAAATGTGGTAATAGTATCCTCAGAAAGTAAGCAGAGCTTTATCAGATGCTTTAAAAAAAGACTGAATAGTTGACTCTCCCGGCTTGTCAATGCTGCAGCATTATTCCTGAGCTTCTAGGTGTTGACTTTGAATACTAACCTGGCACCGGGAAGCCATTTTCATTATTAAGATATTCAGAAGAGGAATTTCAATAGCAATATATTTGGAAGGAAGAGAGACGTTGAGTGTGGGTTCTGCCTCTTACAATGAGGCCTTGTACCCTCTTGGTTATATTAACAGTTGAGTACATTTTAGGCTTGTGAAATTCCCTCCACCCTTTCTCTGTACAAAGCTTCTCATCAAAGTTTACATTTGCAGAGATTTACGGGATTAGAAATCCAGTATGTAAGTAGGGTAGGTCAGCCAGGCCTTAAATTAATGAACTTCACGCCCATAAGCAGAGTTTGACACTGCAATGGTTGAGCAAGGAAAAGTCAGAGTGAGCTGAAAGAAGATTTTCAGAAGGCCCTTTGTCCCACAAACAATTTCGACCCTCTCCACAAATTCATAAACTTCTTCCTTTCATTTTTTTTTCTTGCTAGCACTTATTCACCATACAACACTCTATACATTTTATTTATGTTTTGTTGTTACTGTTATACATGAAGTCAGGATTCTGTCCGCTTTGTAAATACCTCTATTCCCAGTGACTGGTACATAACAGGTGTTCAGTAATATTTGTTGAATGAATCAATGATAGAAGATTCCTCTCTCCATACAAATATGAGTCATTCAATCTAGTTTGCCCTTCAAATATAAAGTAACCAATTGAGAAAGGGAGTTCTCGAAAATCTTACTCTTTTACCCCTGGTGCCTGGAGGCTTCCAGGCTGGAGAGTGACTCAAAACAAAGGAATTTGAAGGAATATGCAGGCACTATGGACTGAAATCAAATTGAGTGTGGGGCTAAGGAATAGGAGGATAGGTGAATTCACCCACACTTGGGAATTTTTTTAAAAGTAAGACTAACATACAAGAATCAGACTATAAAAAAATATAACATTTCTTAAATTTTTTGTAACTTAATCATACCTGTGAATTTTGCTCTACCTGTCTCTCTTTACAATAAATTCTTCAAACAAACAAACCAAAAAAGGTTCAGTGATAGCCAGAAAGTAGAGAATGATACTGTGTCCTGAATCAAAGGAAACATCTCTAAGAAATGGGGCCCGAATTAGGAAGACAAGGAACCGAGATGTAATAAATTCTAAACATAAGGCCAGCTTAGAGACAGCACAGAGAGAAGGTAGGCGTTAAGATTCTCCATGAAATGGCAGAAAAAAACAAACAAAAAAACCATCCCAACTATGACAGAAAAAAACCGGCACCGCCACCCTCTTCTCCCTCTCTGTCATCTCTCAATCCAAGCAGTTGCTTAATCCTGCTGGTGTTTACACTTTAGTAATAGTCTCAAATCAGGGTTTTCTCTCATATCCCTAAAGCCATTGCCTTAGTTCAAAGCCTTGTCATTTTCCCATAGGAATGCACTAATTACCATGTCACTGTCTCCAAGTTTACGTGCTGTGCTTCCAATCTATCTATCCCTAGTCCCCAGGGCAAATCTGACCATTCTACTTTCCAGCGTAAAACCAGAGGCTCCTCCCCAGCCGATTACAATAGAATGATTAAAGTTATATTTTCAAATCATTCTCTAGTGATGTGCACAAATGTTCGCAATAAGGACTAAACGTAAATTCGGTAAGTACACAGATAATGCCTATCTTATTCACAGCTGAACCTCAAACAACTAACACAATTCCTGTGCTCCACAAGTATTTAATACGTATTCCATAAATGAATAAAGGTGTAAAAATCATGATATAAAACAAAGCAGAATGCAATCCTAAGAATGTAAAATGCATATATACTTATATGCATAGAGAAAATATCAGAAAATATAGTAAAATATTTATTTGTATTTTATTCTTGTGTTTTTTTTAATTTCCAAAATTTACTATGAATTTCTTTTTTTTCTCTCTGATACTGAGATGCAGCAATATAAACAAAAACAAATGGGAGTAGAGTAGAAACTGTGCACCTAACAAATCAGATAGCAGCGTGGAGCATAATAGGGAAGTATAACCCCCTCATCATTCCACATCGGATTCTTCATCTACCTGCCCTGACTCTGCACTCACTTCCTGCTACTCCTCTGCCACCCAGGAGTGAGCAGTGCCAGGCCACACTACATTCCTCGCATTGCTACTAGCCATGCCATCTCCTCTCTCAAACCACAATTCTGGTGTTCCCAGTGGGGTAGTCTGTGTTCTTGCCATCTTTTCATTTTTAGGGCAAAGCACAATTCCTGGTACAAAAGAACATATTAAATGCTGATGGAGTAAATTAATTAATACGTGAATAAGGCAGAAACACTGAACATGAGGCCCATTTCTTTCAGTTACTCTAAAATCATACTTACCTAATAGGGCTATTGTGAGGACTAAATGAGGAAATGCGTGTAAAACATGCCTGACATATAATAAGCACTCAATAAATGAACATAGTTATTAACATGCTATTATCAACATGACCATGTATCAGTTACTTTGCTCCCTTAGCCACAATCCTCTTAAATTGTGGACAATAATTCCTGCCGTGCACGCGTACTCATCCATTTGAGATGAGAAAGAGCTTATAGCAATTTGGGAACTATACATCACTAGACAAACACATATTATTATCATTATGATGATGGGAATGATTACATGCCAGTTTCTTTGTGCATCTTGCCTACAGTAAGTTTAGACTTTAAGGTCACATTACCTTTGCTGATGTTTCGAACCATCCTACGAAACCATGCTCCTTGCAGAACTGGTCCATCTTGAGGCCATTGTTCATGAGCATATCCTTCCCCTGGTCACATTTGTTGGCCAACAAAACCACTGAAACTGGTTTGCCATTAGGGAGACTTAACTTTGAGTCCAAATCATTTTTCCACTTTGTTACGGCTTCAAATGTTGCTGGCCTGGTGACATCGAAGACAATAAACGCACCCATGGCTTCTCGGTAGTAGACCCTTGTCATGTTTCCAAATCTTTCTTGACCTATCACCAAAAAGACATAGAAATCAAAACCTTATTACAATTGTAAACCAAATCATATACTGTAACTTTATGAGGCCTCCCTAATGAGTGGATCACTCAGTAAAGAGCTTCATAGCTCATATTTAAAGAATGAGCTAAATATGCACTCATGCAGTTTTGTTCTTGATCTTTGAGTCCAGAGGGGATTTGTTCACTTAACAAGTATTTATTGAAACTTCTGTGTACCATGGAATGTTCTAGGACTGTGCTAATACAGTGTCCTACTAGCCACATATGGCTACTTAAGTTTAAATTCCTTAAAACTAATTAAAATTTAAAATCCAGTTCCTCAGTCACACTCACTAGCTACATTTCAAGTGTTCAATAACCACATGTGGCTAGCGCTACAGAATTACACAACTCCAATATAGAACATTTCCATTATCACAGAATGTTCTGTGGGACAACAGTGTTCTCAGTACATGCGGTTAAAATAGGAAAATCCCTGCTGTCATGTCATGGAGCTTACATTTTAGTGGGACAATAGATTATAAGTGATAAGCACAGTAAATAACTAAATTATGTAGTATGTTAAAAAGGTATCCACAGCCAACTCCAATTAAGGGTAATAGTCAAATAGACACAGCTAGCATTTATTGTATGTTTACTAACCATCAGAAATGTGATTTACATGAATGATCATGAAGGTACAATTATTATCCCCATTTTAAAGTAAGAAAATCGAGACTTAGTGAGGTTAAGTAACTTGCTCAAATTATACAGATTAATAAACTTTGGAAGTCAGAATTCAAATCGGAGCTTTTTGAATCCAGAGTTGAAAGTCATTTACCAACACTGAACATTCTCAACTACTAAACCATAGTTTTATATTAGCTCTTCTCCAGGTTTGTATACCAGAAGTGTCCCATTCAACTCAATTAAACAGATAACAGATACTTATGTGTCAATGCCAATCTCTGGGTGACATGCTAGGAATAAAACAGTGAAGTAAATGACCTCTATCCTTAAATAGTCTACAATCTACTTGGTGAGGAAAGCCTTCTGCTACAGAAAAAGGGAAAAGGGGAGGAAGGGAGGAAATAAATAAGAAAGTGGGTTGGTCTTATTTAGAACAATCTGCTAGAATTAGTTTTGTTCTGATTCTAAATTTTCTAAGTGAATATTGGCAAGTTTCTCAAACACCCTAAATTTAGCCTTCTTCATCTGCAAAATAACAATAATAATATTTACCACAAAGAGTTGTCATGAGAATGAAATGAATTAATATATGTAAAGCACCTAGCACAGTACCTCAGAGCTACCTGGTACTTGAGTTTTCCCTCCCTTTCTCTAGCATGTTAAAAATTATGAAAGATGGGGTGGCCAAGTGGCTCAGTTGGTTAGAGCACGTGCTCTGAGCAACAAGGTTGCTGGTTCGATTCCCACATAGGCCAGTGAGCTGCCCCCCCCACAACTAGATTGAAGACAACGACTTGAGCTGAGCTGCTGGTGGGCAGCCGAATGACTCAGTTTGTTAGAGAGCATGCTCTTAACAACAAGGTTGCTTGTTTAACTCCTGCACGGTGGATGGGTTGTGCCCCCAAAAACTACATTGAAAACGGCCACTGGACTTGGAGCTGAGCTGCGCCCTCCACAACTAAGATTAAAGGGCAACAACTTGACGGAGCTGATGGGTCCTGACAATATGATATAGGTAGTGAAATCATAGTTCCAGACAAGACTTTATAATAAAAAATTACAGGTATTTCAGCTAATTAACAAAAATGAACAAAACCCTCTTGCTTGTCACTCTTGTATAACAGTAGTTGCTGAAGACAGGAGTTGAGACTGAGTTTATATTTTCTGAATAAAAAAACTCCAGAAGTATATGACCAGGCAAAGGCTTCCAATTCTAAGTTGGGAATTTATGTTCAGAGTCTTATAAAGTTAAGCAAATTAAAACAAAGTTAAGTATGTATTCAATAAGCCAGCTTATCTTTAAAACAAATAAAATGCTAAAACTGGCACGTATGTAAGAATACACAGGTCAACATACCTCTAAGAACACTTTTACACTTAACTTTGAGCTCAAGGTTTTGTGATGGGGAGTTTTAATTGAAGTTACCAAGCTCTTTTGTAGGCTGTTACGTTCATATTGGCAATAGCATTGCAGATTGTAAGAGAAAATGATTCATCATCATAAGCACTTTGTGAAAATGCATGAAGGTCAAGGATTCCTGTCCTAGTGTGTGAGCCTGTGTGCTCAAGTACGTATCACTGGAAAGAACATTTTGTCAGGGTCAACACATGATTATCCTAAAATATTTCTTACATGGGTTATACCACAGAGGAATTTTTATTTTTCATTTTCACAGTTGTCCAATCAATGAAATAAAGGGGTATAATACTCATACTATGACAAAACCCACAGGTAAACTTTCCTTTTCCCAAATGAGTTTTAAAATTGTTTTCTTCCTTCCTTTTTTTTAATTTTTTTTTATTTTGGTTTCGTTTGGTTTTTTTGTTGTTGAGGTTTCTGATGCAAACAGTGATCTCCTTTGATACCTCTCAGGGTGGCCATGACATTTCAAGGAGATGGGGGGAAAAGAGCCCTCTGTGATCATTCAGGACTCTGAAGGCCTCTAGGCTTTGGAAGGATGTCTTATGATGTCTTTCAGGGAACTAGTCAGATGAAGGGCAAAGTCATGGGTTATTGAATAATCTGCTTGTCCAGAGGTTTTCCTAGCAGAGTAAAGCTGTCCTCAAGAAGAAAGATTTTACATTTTCACTATATGGCAAAGGGTCATTTTCAAGGCTATGCAAAACAGCAATATATAGGTTTAACACCTTCATAGGAATTAAAAAAAGAGCATGTGTGTGTGTGTGTGTGTGTGTGTGTGTGTGTGTGTGTGTGTTTGAGTTTATGAGGATATGTGTGTCAGATGACAAACAAGAAGAAAAAAAGACTGTTTCTAGAAAGAAAAGACCTTTGTTGATTGAGGTCACTGGGCCAGCAGATTCGGACAGTTTGTATTTTTGGCGTTCTAGCAAGAGGTCACATTCAGACCAGGGCACTTCTAGCACTCACATTTTATCCTTCCTATCCTGTCAGCTGACAGCACTCTCTGCTGTTTCTTATTAAAAGAATGAGAACCATGTGACTTTTAGTGAGTGCTTACATGTGGGCAAAATAGAGACCTGATGAATTTATCATAGGTAATTTACTTTAAAAAAAAAGACCATAATTCAAAGATCACTCATTCAACACACATTTATTGAATGGCAAATATGGTCCAGGCTCTCTCTGTGTTTTGTGCTGCAAATACATAGTTTTTTGTTCTTGAAGAACTTCTAAACTAAGAAGCCTCAGACTGGATGCACTCACTGAAAATGGTCCTATCCAGCATGTAGGTCCTGCTTCTCTTAGTCTCTAAACACTTACTCCATAGCAGTGTGGGTGTGGCTCATGATTCAACTTTCAGCTTGGAGGCTATCCCTCCAACAAAGCAATCAGCTAAATCTCAACAAATACAATGGCTGTAATAACAACCTGGATAACCTCACTGCAGAAGCCACTAACTTAAAGGGTCAGAAGATACGGGTCTTAATTTTAATCACCAGTCACCAGTGCAGCCATAGGCAAATATATTTCTTTCCCTGAGACTCAGTTTTCTCATCTGTAAAATGAAGTTGTTCTAACTGATCTGTACGGTCCCTTCCTGCTTTCATGCCTTCTAGCTAGCTAGCCCTATGGTATCGCCAGAAATCAACACTTGTTTCTGTCTCAACTGCCTGAAATGGTCCATTTGGTGTCATGGACTTGGCTAAAAATATACACAAGCAACACAGCCATACTGTGTATTTAATGATATTTTCACTTGGCAATTAGTACTATTGTAGATAGATGCTCTCAGAGCACAAAACCAAGCAGAGAATCTTCTCAACAGGCGTCAAAACAAGAGGAAATATGTCAGGTTTTTCATTAACCAACTAGCTCTGTGATCTCATATTAGTCACCTTACCATTCTGAACCTCAGCTTCCTCACTGGTAAAATAAGGAAACTCCCTGTAATGAGCAACACCCTGCCCCTCCCCCAGGTGCAGACATCCATATCCCCACCTCTTAATCCCCTTGTGTACCCCAGTCTGGTTCACAGCACCATCACCATCCACACTGTCCCCCAGGGTGGTACCTTCAAGTCATCTTCCTTGCCCCCATACCCAAAGGGTCTCCAATGTCCTACCAACACTTCTATTATATTTCAGAAGTGTCCGCTCCTCTCCATCAGCATTGCCAGCTCTCCAGTTCAGCCCCTCACTGCTTCTCACCTAGACCTCTGACAGCTCCCTAACTAGTTCTCTCAGCATCTCAGTTCCCATAACTCTTCCCACTCTCCCTTAAAATAAATAGAAATATAAACACAAATACAGGCTTCAGACAGTTGCCATTCTGGCAGCATAGGCAATCATCTGGTGGGTATTTATCCAAAGGAAATGAAATAACTACCTGGAAAAGATATCTGCTCACCCACAGTCATTGCAACATTATTGACAATGGCCAAGACATGGAAAAAAACCTAAGTGTTCATCGACAGATGAACAGATGAATGAATAAAGAAAATGTGATGTATACAGAGAGAGAGAGAGAGAGAGAGAGAGAGAGAGAGAGAGANAGAGAGAGAGAGAGAGAGAGAGAGACAGACAGACAGACAGAGAGACAGAGACACAGAGACAGAGAGAGAGAGACAGAGAGAGAGAGAGAGAAAGAGAGAGAGAGAGAGAGAGACAGACAGAGAGAGAGAGAGAGAGAGAGAGAGAGAGAGAGAAATGTACTCAGCCATAAAAAAGAAGGAAATCTTGCCTTTTATGACAAAATGGGCCAATGCTACGAGAACACCATGCTAGGAAAACAAGTCAGGCAGAGAGAGACAAATGCTGTAATGATTTTTTATATGTGGAATATAAAAAAGCTAAATGCATAGAAACAGAGAGTACAATGGTGGTTGCCAGGGACTGAGGAC